GACATCAGTTACAGAAACATTAGAAAACCTACTGGGAGTACTGCCAGACAGCTGCTTCGTCAGCACTCACCTAACCTACTAAAGTTCGAACCCAGGACCTTCTGATTACAAGGCAGGCGAGCTCGTGGACCATTAGGCCAATGGGATTTGATCCAATAACCAATCCATGAGTTCTAACTTCTGCCGATGAATAACTGTCCTCACCTTCAACCTGCTGTACCCTACTGGTCACGGTTGCCCTCTAGAACCTTAGGTAACTGCCTGCATAGGGCCAATCGCTGGTGAGCATCAGATCAATTTTCAAGTATCGGTTTTTGTAGGGATTTTGTTTGTTTCTTGCTTTAATTTGGTGTAGAAGTTTTCAAAGAATAAATTGACTCTCAAACACCATCCAGTGCATAATATCATTTCACTGTGTAATATATACTCAATAAATGAACTAACAGTGAAGTATATTTTCGTTGAAATTTAGTATTAACCTTACGATTACTGATAGTCCGCATAAGTAGATGTACTTTAGATGCAGCTGCAGTCTTGTAACATAACATTGTCTCCAGGTTAAACAAGAGGAGCTAAATTTGTTCGCTGCACCTTCTTAGATTACACATCTCCTTTCGACTCAGTACCTAGGGACATTTTGTTAAACAAGCTTGCTGAAACTCAAACTGACTGTTGGGTTGTCAAATGGCTACATTCTTATTTCTCAGAAATAAAGCAGTACACTGTATGTCAGGGGAGGTCATTCACTTCATTGATTACTGAGACTGGTGTCCCTCAAGGCGCTGTCCTTCCTTCTTTTCTGTTTTCCTACTTCTTGCATGACTTGCCTCACTCTAATGAAATGAACTTTGTTAAGTATGCCGGCGATCTAACTATTTCAATGTCTGTTAATTCCCAGCTTGACTGTACTAAGATGAACAGCTTTCTATCAGGAATTAGCAAATGGCCTTGGTCTAACGGCCTTAAACTAAATCCTTCCAAATGTCAGACTGTTAATTTCAGTTTCCGATGTAAACGAAAGTTAAATGAAGCTGTTAATTCCCATTACCGCTGCAAAATTGATGACACTGATATAGAAACCAAGTTTGACGTTAAGTATCTTGGATTAATTCTTTCTTCTGACCTATCCTGGTCTTCCCATGTCTTAGAGATTTCTAAAAGGATATTTCGTCTGACTTTTTACATTAAGAAGTTAAAGCACTCAGGCGTAACCCAACTCCTCCTCTTACAGTCTGTCAACTCTTGCATCTTACCTATTCTTCTTTACTGTTCACTCCTGCTTATTCTTTTCTGGATTGCTTAAAAAAGACTATGTCATACTTCCTAGAACTCTGAAGACTGTCAGTCAGTAGGGCGAGTGGTATCCCATTGGGCCATATCGTTGACACTGTCACTGATAGGCACTTGATGTCATGCAACAAATTTGATAAAGGAATTTTGTCAGACTCTGAGCAACCACTCTACCCTCAGCTACAACCTTGTGTCTCCTCAGGTAAAACAAGGAGTCTTTTCAGAAGACTTTATGCACGTACGTCTAAGTATAAAAATTCCATTATGCCATATTTGGCGACGTACTTTGTGTGATGAAAATAGTATCAGACATGAACTAACTAACCTTCTTTGCACTACTAAATAAACCATTTCCTCCACCCTTACAACATTCACCTTTATTGTTATTGTACTTCTTATATTTATAATCCTCTCAATTTTTTGTTTTTATTTATTTATTTTTCATAAGTGTGAGCATAATTTAAGCTGTGTTATAGCTGTTAATTTCGTCTTTCCCTTCACCATACTATATCAATAGAACATTAGATCCAATAATGTATAACATGCTAAAATTTCCAAACTGAATTGACAATACCGTTTGATCAAAGGGGTGAATACATGAACTAATAGTAGTCGTATGAAATGCAATTAAAATATTTGTGGTTATAATCATAGTTAAATGTCAAGTGTCAAAATAATTAATGTCTTATATCGAATAATACATAACGTGTATAGATTTGGAAAGGCATACATAATTATAAGAGTAGTAGACGAATATGAAATGTTACATAACATGGTGTGAAATTTGATAAGATAGAATTTAATATTGCAAAAATAAAAAATATTAAAATTGATAATTTTGAGTTTAAAATGACAAGTGGGTCAAGTGGAAAAGATTCAGAGTGAGAATAGTAATAATATTCGTAATAATCGTAGTAATAAGGGAAAGGTACATAGAATAACTGAATAAACAAAATAAATAAATGTCTATCCCTCTACAGTCAAGGCAGGAGTAGGGATTGTACATACTTCTGTTGTACACAAAGTTGTGTCTGGCTTAAAGCCATGAATGTCCAAGGCCTCCGCTGTCTTTAGATGTCTGTTATCATAGAGTTATCATAGATTCTGTATATTATTATGTTAAAAGCATGATCAGGGTTGACCGAGTGACAGAAGCCGATCAGGTGTTCCAGAATAGAGCTTTGCGCACACCTATCTCCCTGGTAAAGCCAAGCTGGTGGAATATGTTCTCATATCCGTGTGGAAAGCGTCCTTTGGCTACAGCCAATGTACCTTGCTCCACAAGAACAGTGGAACTGATAGATGCATATGGAGGTGACCAGAAGGGGGGCGTTTATTTCAAAGAGATGGAGAACGACTTGTAGCCGGTAAACGTCATTTGTAATTTTGTTGCAGGGCATGTCTTACTGACTGATTTCGAGAGACGGATTTGGAGCATATCTGAAACTTGATTACCTTTGAATTCCAAGATCATGAATAAAGTTTTCTTTGAAAATGACGTGGTGATCAGTTTGGACTGCTTATCTTTCGTGTTACTGCCAATAAATTGGTTCGAGTAACCGTTTTCTGCAAGTGTGGCTTTTAGGAAGCCAAGTTCTGAGTCAACGCAATCGGGACTACAAATATGTCTTATCATAAAGAAAAACGAATGAATTAGGTTCGTTTTCCTGGAAATAGGCACTCAACTGTAAAATTTAGTCAGTTGTGCGTTCCATGTACATTTCCGGTGGATAGATGTTTTGAGAGATCCATCATTACGTCTGCTAAGGCACACACCAAGAATACTGTTTGAAACAAACTCACTGTTATGATTAATATTAAGATCTCATAAATTACGTATTATTTTCAACTTTATTTCATTTCATTTTTAAAACTAGGAACTCCTGCAATGTTCCGATCTTATGGTGTCGCTTCAGCTCTAGTATTGTTGGCCTTTTTAGTACTGAATTATTTTATGCCTATACCTGCAGTGAGTGAAGAGCCAACTGAAGAGGATAAAATGTATTCTGACATTGCATCTAGTAAAACAAATGTAAATCAAACGCCATTTGGTAAGTTGTTTTTTTTCTTTGGTATGTTCTGTAACTTGAACAACGCATAAATCTATGTTTCTGCTACGATTCGGACTGATGGCCAAGTTAAACCTTGAACACCACTAACTACCAATCGGCGAATGACCTTGAATGGTTCAATGAGTTTTATCCACATTAGCTGAAGCCTTTATTCAGCTTGATTCGAGTCAAATGCCTCCTCTAAAGCAGTTGCGCTTGCAGTTTGTTGAGGATAAGCTTTTCCAGTATTCCCTGGATGTGCTGTTGATTGGGAGGAAATGATTTGTTCATGTGGAAGTGTCATGAGTACAAAAACTTCAGCAGATCGATTGATAGATATGTCTGTCGTTGTGCAATTGTTTGAAACGAGTTAGTGTCAGGTAGGGTGAGCTGTTGATTCTAATATTTTGTAAGAACATTTTTGCCAGGTTCCATCCGTCCTTAACCCAGATTTTTTATATTTGTAATTACTGGGTTTTAAAACAGCCTGTGAGAGGCATAGCTGCTGCAACTGAAAATAGCCTCGTTTCAACATTTCAGTGGTACCAGCACTGCAGAGATATCGCGTCATGGAAAATGAAGAGAATTACTTCGTTATTAGGAGGAGAAGGTGTCGTCGTACATGTGGACGAAACTGCCTTATTGAAAATAATATATAACCGTGGTCATGAGCGAGCAAGCAATGTTTGGGGGATCGACTTACATGACACCTCTCTGGAAAAAAGATTCGTCGAGAGGATACCAGACAGAAAGTCATCCACCTTAATACCTATTGTTACTTGACTGGTGAAACTAGGA